ATATGATATATAGATATATATATATATAGGATAGATATATATCTATATATATCAATATATATATATATCATACTATTATATATCTCATAATATATATATATCATATATATATAGATATCATATCTTATATATATATTCATATATATAGATATATCAAATATATTATACATATCATATATTATATATATATATATCATATATATATATATTATATTCATATATAGATAGCATCTATATATATAGATATATATATATCTATATATAATTATATATATATCTGATATGATATATATATATGCATATATATATGGTATATAGATATATATATCTAGAGATATATGGTATATAGAGATATAATATATATATATGGTAATATATATAGATTAGAGAGATATCTATAATAGATGATAGATAGATATATAATAATAATAAGAGATATAAGGAGAATAGTATATATAGGTATATAGATATGGTAAATATATATAGATATAGATATATATGTGGTATCTAGTATAGATAGATATCATCTAGATATATATATAATATAGTGATATAATGAGATATATATATATATATATATATATATATATGATATATATAATATATATATATGATAGATATATATATGATTATATATATATATATATATGATATATATATATATATATAGATATATATATATATATATGATATATATATAATATTATTTGAGGATATAAATATAATGATATATATATATATATTGATATTATATTCTATATATGCTATATAGATATATATATGATAGATATATATATATGATATATATATACATATATATATAGATATAGTATATATCTATATATGATATATATATATATATGATAGATATATATTATATATGATCTATATTATATATATGATATAATTAATATAGGACGATTAATATAATATATATGATATATTATTATATTACCTATATATAGATATAGTATATGCATAGAGAGAGATATATTATAGAGATATATATATAGGATTATATCTTATAGATATAATATATAGATTAATAGCTAGTGAGGTTATAGTTTTAAATATATATTTGTAGAGTTATTTATTATATAGATCTAAATAGTATTTATATAGATATATTATATATATATATATATATATAATCTTATTATATATTAATGTTATATATATGTTTTTTTATATATATTTATATATATGTGAATTCAATATCATATATATATATAAGATATATAATAATAGATATATTCTCTTTGTATGAAATGAGTTTTTGCTATTATGTATGATAAGTAAGTATGAATTTGAATATAATTAAGTGTCATGTCTTAAATTGCCTGTGTTTAGGTTCCTTTGAAGATTACTTTTTATGGTCCATATATAGCAGTATTTTGATATCGCATTCAGGAATTAATGGGATTTGTTCCAAAAATGGTCATAAGACATATTTTAGGAAATGATCTTTTGTAATACAATGTAATTGTTCTCATTTTTGTGTGTAGGGGGAAGTGGTGAAATATAGCGGGATGTGTAGTAAGTGACAGCAAGGTTAAAAATTTCTGGTTGAGACGGAAAGGCTAGTCAGGGGATTTAGGCTAGAATGATAGATTGCTGAGATTGGGAGTGAGTAGGATTTGGTGGGTGAAACTAGGATCTTTCTTTTTATTTCAACCAGATTCATTTATGTAAACAGTGTCCTCATAAACATATAATTCAGAAAATTAAGGAAAAACATCCAGACTAGTATCACATAGAATAGTATAGAATAATATGGTTATATTGAGTTAACATTCTATTACATGTGAAGTGCAGTGTATTTCTAAAACTTTTTAGCCTCTCATTATCTTGACCTGAAAAATATATCCATTAGGTTTAGGCAGCCTGAGTATAAAAGTTATCTGCAGTGCCTGAAAATTCAATAAATGCTTCATCGTTCTGTTTGTGAAGCCACTGCTTTTGTGGTTGCCATATGCCCACAATTCATGGTTGTTAACTTCTAATTCCTTTTGAATACACATAGCATGTAGGTTGGAGCAGGCCGTTTTCATTTCTGTCTTCACTAAGTAAATCTCAGGAGGAAACTGAGAGGTTCAAGCAAGAACCTCTTGCATCGGTCTCTTGCACTAGCCCTTTGTACTGGTCACCTCTGTGGAGAAAAGCAGTATCAACCTAAGTAGAAGATTAATGTGCCTCTGAGCAGTTTCAGCTGAATCCAGTCCTCCATTTTACACCAGTATCCAAAAGGAGTACTTGGATAATAATGATTTGGACTCCATGGAAGGGAAAATATCATCATTTCATACCTTTTTTCTACTTGACCAGATTCCGTCAGCGTTCCAGTGTAGCATCAGTAAACCTGCCACCTGCGAAGACTGGGAGGGCCGCCTCACAAGATGAAAGGAGAGAGTTCATTTCTGTGTTCCCTGACATGGTGCGGGATCTCTCTGAAATTGGAACACATTCGGATATCCCAGAGGCCCAAAAGTGGTATGCGAAGGTATGTTTCTTACTAACATTTTCCACTCGCAGCCACAAGCACAAGCACATCCTCACTCACACAAGCTCAGTCATTGTTCACACTAACATTTGTGAGTTATATATGATATATATATGTATATGTATATATATTTATGTATATGTATATTTAGTTATGTATATGTATGTATATTTAGTTATGTATATGTATATATATTTATGTATATGTATATATATATATATATATATATGTGTGTATATGCATGTATATGTATATATATCTATGTATATAATGTTGTGTATATTTATGTATGGGTAATATATTGGATATAGCAGAATGTATGATATGTATGTATATCTATAGTTTATGATGTAATGTATGGATATCTATATTATATGTATGTATATTAGTTTAGATCTATATATATATATGTATGTAATGTTGTATATCTTATATATATATATAGTATGGTATGTATACTATAAATGTATGTCTATGTATATCTATATATATTTGTATATGTAGATCTATATATATGTATGTATATGTATATCGATATATAGTATGTATGTAATGTATTGTATAGGTATTATATTAGAATATTATATATATATATTATATATACCTATATATATATATGTCACATATTTTATATGAGAAACATACAATATATGTATATATATGATCAAAGACATATTTAATATGAGAATAACAGATTATATATTGAGAATATACATATATAGTATATATATGATAAATGTACATATATATAGGAGAAAATATAATATATATGATATATATGTGAATATACATGTATATGTCTATATATGAGAAATACATGTATATGTCTATATAGATAAATGTACATATTATAATATGAGAAATCGACATATATATATTATATGATGAATATTACAGTATATGCATATATGTATGAAGACTAGATGATATATATGTGATAGATATATGTATAAATATATGTATATATTTTATAGTATATATCACTGTAGATATATATGTATATATATGTGTGTATATTATTATATAGTATATCATATATATATATATATATATATATAAGATATATAGATATATATCTGATATATATATATATATAGATATTAGTATATATATATAGGATATATAGATATTATCTATATGATATATAATCTATATATCTATCTTATATATTATATATAATATATATATATATAGATATATTATATATATATATTATATATGATATATAATATATATATCACATATATGATATATATATATAGAGATATATATATGATATATATATATATAATATATATGATATATCTATCTATATATATATAATTATGATATATATATATATATGAGATATAGAGATATATATATGATATATAGATATCGATAATATATATATATATATATATATGAGAATCTATATATATATATATATATATTATATATATGATAATTATATATATATATATAGATATATATGATATATATATATATATATAGATAGATATATAGGATATATATTAATATTATATATAGATATATATATATAGATGATATATATCTCTAAGATATAGACTATATATATTATATGATATTAGATATATAGATATATGATATATATATATATATATATGGAGATATATATATATATATATGAGAATATATACTATATATATATGATATATAATATATGATAATAAATCCTGATTATATTATATATGATATAAAAAATATATATATGATATATATATATATCTTAGATATGATATCTATATATATATGATCGTATATATATATGAATATATATATATATTGATATATCTCTATATAATATATAATTATTATATATGTATATATAATATATCTATGGAATATAGATGATTAGATATATATATATATCTATATATAATAATAGAGATATATGATATAGATGATAATATATCTGATATATATATATATCTATAGATATATGATATATAAATATATAATATATATGATATAGATATAATATATATATATGATATATATATATATGTGATATATTATAATATATATTGTATATATATATATATATATGAGATCATATCATATTAGATGATATATATATATATAGGATATATATATATATCTATATATATAATTATATATATATATAGATGATATATGATATATATATCATATATATATATATAGATATTTATCTCATATCTCATAGTCATAGATGTATATATAATAGATCTATATATATATATGTAATATCTATATAGATATGAATATGATATATATATATATAGATATATATCTCTATATATATATATTCATTACAGATATATTATAATATATATCATATATAATATATATATATGATATATATATATAGATATATATATATATATATATATGAGCATATATATATGATAAGTATTATATGAATAGATTTATATATAGATATATATATATATGATATATATATAATATGATATATTAGTATATATGATATAGATCTATATATATGGTATAATATATATAGGAGAAATATATATGATATATATTATATATGATATGATATAATATGATATATATATATTAATGATATAGATATATATGATCTATATATAGATATGATAGATAATATCGATGATATATATATATGATTAGATTAGAATATATGATATATCTATATAGAGAGATATATATTATGAGATAGATATATGATATATATAGGAGAGATCTATAGCATATATCATAATATAGATATATATATCTATAATATCAGTATATGGATATATATATCTATAGATATTATATGATATATATATATAGCAGATAGATATAATGATTCGATATAGATATATGATAGAATCTTCTGAATAGAGAGGATAATATACATAGGATAAGAGATATAGGATTATATATAGATAGAGATCTATGATCGAGATATATATATATATATATACTATATAGATATAGAGATCATAATATTAGATATTATATATTAGCATATATTAGCAGGAGCTATGATATAGTATATATATCAGATATGATAGAGACATTATATAGATCTAGATATATAGGATATAGATCGATATATCATGAGCAGAGAGAGAGATGGAGAGAGATATCTAGCTATATAGATAGATATATAATATATAAATTATATCTAGGATGAGTATATATATAGGAGAGATATAGATCTATAGAAGATAATATAGATAGATAATATAAGAGGGATTATAGATAGCGAGAATAGGATATAGAGATATAGATATATATATGAGATATGAGATACGATATATATAGAGAGTCAGATAGAGGATAGCTATATGATAAAATTGATTGGATATAGGATATAATAGATAGAGGATAGATAGAGATCGAGTATATAATAGAGATATATAGATCGGAGCATATAGAGATTCAGCATATATGGATAGATATAGATAGATATATAGTATAGATAGACATCAGATCTATATACAGCATAGCTATAACTCATATGATATACATCATGTAATATACAATCAGATAGTTATAGCTAGCGAGATGAGTATATATATAATAGATATATAGAGCGACAGAGATATATATATATAGAATAATAATATATAGAGATGATATATATAGATATAGAAGGAAATAGATATAGATGATATATATGAATATATATATGAGGATATATATGATATATATATATCATATAGATGATATATAATCTATATCATAAGATCATAATATATATAGATATATATATATAATAGTATATCAGATATATGATATATATATAGATAGAGGTATATATAATATATCTATAGATGCTAAGAGAGTGATATTTATATATGGATATATAGAATATTATATAGTAATGAGATGTATAGATCTATATATAAGATGGAGATGTAGATATATATATATATATATTTATATATATCTATATATATAGATATATATAGATATATATCTATGATGTATATTTATATAATATATAATATATATATAATATATATATATATATATATGTATATATATAATATAGATATATATATATGTATAAGATATATATAATAATATGTATATGATATATATATAATATATATGTATATATATATATATAGAGATATAGTAATATATATATATATATGTTATATAATATATTATATAATATAGATAATATATATATATATATATTTATATGTATAATATATATATCTATGATATATATATAATATATATAATATGATGTATAGATTATAATGAGTATTATATATATTTATATATATAGGATGTATATATATAGATAGATGTATAATCTATATATGATGTTAGATATATTTATGATTGTATAATCTATATAGGTTATTCATATAATGATTTGTACATATATATATATGATGTAGATATATATATTATGATGTATTATATTATATGATGTATATATATATATATGAGGTATATATGATATATGAGTATATATATATATTATATAAATATGTATATAGTATATATATGTAATATATATATGTATATATATATGTATATATATATATGTATCTATATATACGTATATATATATGTATAATATATGTAATATCTATATGTAGTATATATATATGTAGGTATAGATATATGTATGTATATATATATGTATTATATATATGGTATATATATATTATGATATATATATATGTATATAGATAATGTATATAAGATTATGTAGTATATATAATAGGTATAGTATATAATGAGAATATATATGTATATATATATATAATGTATAATTATATGGGATATAGATAGTATATATGTCTATATATATATGTTAGAGAATATAATATGTAGAGAGATATCTAATAGATGATGTAGATAGAAGCTGATCTTATGGATATATATAGTATTATAGAGGTATAGAGATAATAGTATAAGTATAGATAATATATATATATATATAATAATTAATATATATATCTGATGTATATTATAGCGTAGATAGAGAGAGATATATCGAGAAT